AGATGTGTATAAGAGATCGTTAGTACATAGGCCTACTGCTCTCTTACATGCAAAGGTGTTTTGCATAATAGCCGCGACCAGGTGGATTATGTATGCCTACATTTGGATACCAGTTCTGACCTTTTATTAAGTAGGATTGTCTTATTAGAATTAAGGATAACTAATTTTTCGTCCATGCAAAGTTTGCACTTACCAAACGCTGCGCATTTTACGGATGAACGCTTTATTATGTTCCACTCTATGTTAAACTTGGTATTCTCATTTTTTAGTTTCCACACGTATGGACATCACTGTGATTGTGATTGGTGGTTTGAAATCAGCGTAGCGGAAGCTACATGTTAACTTTCAAAAACACTTTCACCCACCCTCTCTTTAGTACAAAATATATGAGGCGTGGGTTTAGAAAGGGATATGGTAGTTGGTCTTACTGAAAAAAATCCCTCGAAGCCTCTGCTATCAACAAAAGCCAAATAAAATACTGTACTGTACATCATGATCTTAAACTCTTATATATGGTGATGTCTGTAAATTCAGGCTTCAGCGATGGACATCATTGTGATTGTGATTATGAATATGAAATTAAATGTCAATGTGTGTAATTGTTCTTAGCAAATATACATATATATATATATATATATACTATTAAAAATCACAGTGGCCCCCCCCCCCCGCACCCATTCGAAAAATTCGAAGCAAAAAAAAATTAGGCTAGGCTTATGCTCAAGAAAATGGGTTAATGCTTTCTCAACATCCCTTTATTGAAAATAAACATGGATAATGAGTTCGTGGACAAGTTTGCTTCAGTTCACAAAAATAGAAAAATTAAGTTATTTTAAGAGCTTTCAACAAGATCTATAGGCCTAGAAAAGGGACATTGTGTTAATTGTTCAATTATATAATTATTATGTATAACCATATTATGTATTTATTCGTCCTTCATTTCACAGCAACTTAAATACTGCGTTCAAGAGATATACTTTAACATATCTGTCACGGTTAACGTGTATTCGGGAATCTAAGAAGCAATATTTTTCAGTGGGCGTGGCCACCGAAAATAAATTCCACACCCCCTCATATTTTTGGTCGCCCCCCCTCCCCATTTTAACACTGCTAGACACGCCACTGACCAAGAGTCGAGTTACTCCAGTAAGCACAATAATAGTATCACTAGATTTATAGAATATAAAATAAATCCTTTTTTTTTTGTATTTTGTTATCTATGAGATCAGTAGTAAGGCCAAATAGAAAAACAAATTATGCTGCTTTTAGCGTCAACTCCCCATGCCTGATTTTTCCGCCCGCCAGCGAAAAATGCTTGCTAAAATCGTATTCAAATTAATTGAATATTTTAAATGTCAGCAAAATAACGAAACGTTTAGGCCTAAAACGAATAATTGTAAAACGATTTCAAAATAAGGTAATTTGAAGTCTAAACTAGATCTACCGACATGATGCCCGTAGGCAGGATTTTCGATGGGGAGGTCGGTTTTGCGACCGAAGCGGACCTTATGAGTGGCGACCGCCTAGGGATCCCCATGAGGGGTGAGGCATCCCCTGGAAGCTCCGACAAATTAGCATTTTGAGGGCCTTATATGGATTTCTGAAAACCATAATTCGTTAGAGATAGAAAAAGCACCATCAAATGACATTTTGCAGGGGCGGATCCAGAGGTGTCCAAAAGGGGGGGGGGGGGGCGAAATTTGGCTGATCGAGACTACAATGCCCTACGGGGAAATTGTTTCTAGACGCCCAAAAATAAAATTTGAAGCGTTCTGGGCTAATTCCCCGCGAAATTTCTTTTTTTCTTTTTTTAACTCCCAAAAGGGGGGGGGGCTCGGGGCCGGATCGAGCTCCCCCCCCCAACCTAAATCCGTCCCTGTTTTGACAGGTTAATAATGACTGTTCTTTTACAATGTATGTACCTTTCTTAGTTCAAGATGCCCTGTATGACCCTTTAGCGGCTTTTTTTAAAAATTCCTAATTAAATTCCCCTCCCGAACCTCCCACCGGCTCGGCCCTACGGCCGGCCCTCGGATGGCACCACATGCCAAAGTACAACTCTCGCCCGGCCTGTTTGGGATGTTGGCCTGCCTTTGGAGAAATCCTACCGCCACCACTGCACCACATACACACAACAAAGGTTTATGTTGATTTACCTTGGACACGGGCATCTGCAGTTCAGACTACAAAATAATTAGGCCTACTATGTAGTCTACGGACAACTTACAGCTAAAAAGGTATCTAAAAATAATTCCTTTAGTTTCCAATATGACCTTTGCATTTTTTTATTTTTTTTGCCAAAGTGCTTCTTTAGTAAAAAGAAATAAAGAAGCCAACCACATTTTCTTTTAAAAAAGAGTTTAACTTTATTTTTTTTTTCATTTCAATTCGATCTTCCAACAAGGTAAATTTTAATTATCTACATGGAACGGTAGCTAAACAATCAAGTCTATACTGATAACAAATATTATAAATCTGAAAAATTTAAACACCACCAGATACATATTATTATTGCCTGCATGTCATAATTATTTCAACAATGATTAGGTTTTTCAATATTTGTTGAATTTTATACATCATGAACAACGGTAAATGCGGTGATAAATGTATTTATGTACATTGTGCACAATCAGTAGATTTAGGTACTTTCTCACCAAACCTGTTTCAACTCTGTGGTTTCCTCTATTATACTATTTTTGACAATGCATTTTTTGTCTCTTCCATGTTTATAGTGTCTATTTTTTTTTTTTTTTTTAATTTATTTTAATTCGATTGAGTATTACTGTACTATTAAATCTCTGAACAATGCTTATTTGGATTATCTACAATCCCGTTCTGAACTTCTCACCCAATCCAAATTATTCTAATAATCTCATCTTACAGGGTTATTTTTAAGATTCCACATAAGATAGCTTTAAGAATCTAATAACGTCTGGTCTGTTCTGTAATAGGGAGCTTTTTATTTGCGCGACGACGTAGCGTTAGATGGATTCCATGACCGTCCTACCATCTGTGAGATGGCCCGAGAACTCAACGTTCTCGCATGGACAGATGACTTCTCAGCGACGTCATAACGTCACATGTCCTACCGTCGTTGTGCAATAGAAAGCTCCTTATTATCTTTCTAATAGATGTAATCACATCTAGCTGATACGATTTTTGTTTATCTTGAATCAATATTATCATCACAAAATATTGTTGAAATAAATAAATTATAGAAACTCTAACCTGAGTGATATTTTATATTTCGTATAATTTCCTTGAATCTCTAATTCATGTTAGCTATTTTTATAATGATTCCCTAATCCCCAATTCATGTTAACTTTTATAAATTTGCTTAATATAATTTCTATTAATTCCTAATTTTATTTATTTTCGTAGTTTCCTTTGATCTCTAATCCCTTGCTCTGCAAGAAAGGGGACCAATTAGTAAAATGTAAATAGAGACATATTTCTATATCTCTGTGGTAAATATAGTAAATTGATAACAAAGAAGTTGAATTCATAAATACTTTACAATGCATCAAGTTTTTTTTAATCAAAAGTTATCAAATTTCAGTAATCCTGCCTCACGGCCACACCACAAGTCAACTATTCTTACCGGTCCTCTCTTGCTAATGCTTCACACTGGGCAGTTACAAGCTAAATACAGTAATCACTTCATGAATTATTTTGAGGTTTTGGAACATCATTGTTTTAAAGCCTTCCCAACAATTTGTTTAGATCATACTTAAAGCATACCTTACAATAAAAGACACAAGAAGGTAAACAAATACATAAAAATATAAAATGTATTAATAATTATGTACAATTTAGAGTTTCTTAAAATACATTAAGCATAGTACAGCAGAAACAATAAGGGAATAAATTGAGAAGAAATTGAACAACTACTGGAAGATGGTAAAGAACTTGAATAATGAATGATACAGTAGGTCTACATTAGTAACACATGCATATACAATATTTAGATTTTTATTATTAATAACATAGATTCTGTTTATGTAGGGGTGCATGTAGGTAAGCAGCTTTATGCAAGGCACTTAAAATGTTTTATTCATATCCAATATTTACATGTCCCAAGTTCACTACCTTTTAACAATAACATTGGCTGAAATTTGGTACATAACTGGAATATTACAATGACAAACATCAATGTAGCCTAGTACTATGTTTTATATTCTTTGGTAAAAAATTATTATTCATTAATTTCATTCTATCTTAATATTGTTATGGTTCAGTGGTAAACTAAACATAAATGGCCGTATTTGAATGGTCGTTTTTCGTTAAACCACGCCCACCTGCGCAGTCGTAAAATCCTACTTAACAAACAAAATGGCTGCATATCTACCGCAATACACGCTGCATAATCAAGGCTGCTTCGGATTGTGGCAGTATAGGTTTTTAGTTAAAAAATGTTTTCATCCAGTTTTTGAATTCTGTTAGCCTACAATTATTTTTTTACTTCAATGTGTGGGTAAATATCGTAATTTTATTTTCTGAAATTTAATCTAAATTATATTAACGCAAATGTTGTTGCTAAACTGACCAATTGGCCATATTTTTTTGGTCATGTGGATAACTTAACACTGATTAACGCATTTTGGTTACGTTAATTTTCGTTGTCAACAAAGTCTATTTTACGGACCAGTCGAATGAAAATAATACTCAACGAAAATTCGTACTCTACGAAATGAACCAGTCGAATAAGCCCTATGAGAATGATGATTATTGTTACTGGTATACCAATGTACATTAACTACTGGAATTACCTATCAGTTAGATGAACTATCATTCCATTCACCATTTTCTTACAAATCACTTGATGGGACAGTGTAAATCCTTTCATTTACACTTTTAAAATTGATTGATTGCACTAAATGAGAACAACAAATAAATAATTGACTTTCGTAATCTGAATTCTTTCAAGGAAAGTATAAATTGATTTTAAAAGTTATAAATTATTATTTTAAACATAAAAAATTGGCAAATGTAGAATTTCTGAAAATAAAAATATTAGTCTTTGTTGAAATACTCAAGATGATTAAAAATTTGAATAGTTTAGCTACAGATACATAATGGCAAATCAATTTTAGCTATCTAAAGTCACCTGCAATTAAGTATTCATATAATGAATGGCAAGAAAGTTTTTGATGAAATTATGAAAATGGTATCAAAATCACTTAGATCTATGATTAATACATATATGGTAAATGATTTTGGCATATGATTAATTAATATTGTGTAATGTATTAAAATTCATAATACTAAGCACCATAATGCAAAAATGATTACTTTACTTTAGTAGTCATTACTTGCTGCACACCCAGATGGGTAGAATGGTGTCATGGGATAGTAGTCTCCCCTGCCAGGTGAAGAGCGCCCTCTATTCGGTGAACCATGACTGTGGTGGTACTGATGTCGACCATGGCCTCGTTTACCCCCTGGACTCATCTTGCCTCTATGAGGTGAATTCCCTGAGTGGTGCCACTGAGGTGTGAACTTTCTTGAGTCTGGGCTGTGGATGGCTTGTCCTGTAAACTTTGGTTCCACATGGGTTTTAAAAGCAGGCCTAGATCCTGGTGATTCGTCATCAGCCCCTGGGCATGCAGGCACATTAGTCCATACCTTCAGTAGAGCTTCTCCAACACTAGGCTCAATTTCCTTTTATATTAAAAAAAAAAAAAAATTAAAATTGCATTTCTTCAAATAATCATCTGACAACAATTTTCCCTATACCTATATACATGTATTATTATTCTTATTTCTCTAAATCGGAGTTTTGTGTTATTTTACCCTTAACATTGTGTTATTTTCCCCCTAACATTGTTTTTTAATTGTTCTCTAATTTCTCCATTGTCTAAGTTCCCCTTAAGGTAGGTTTCAGTAAATCATCATCATCATTATTATTATTATGTTACATGTTACTAAAACCTACCTTAAGGGGAACTTAGAAAATGGAGAAATTAGAGAACAATTAAAAAAAATGATGTTAAGGGAAAATAACACAAAAGATATTCAATCCGAGTTAGAACTATTCTTATTATTATTATTATTACAGTATTATTATTACAGTTATAACATACTTTTTAATATACAATAGAAATGCTGAAAGCAGAAATCAAAGCCCAGTAATTGTTTCTTTTATATATAATTTTTATGTAAATTTTACAAGCAACCTGTGATATGGCAAGTGCTGTGCTCTTAGCTCATGCCATTCTATCACAGATCCAGATTGAATTTTATTGTAATGAAAATCATTACAAAATCAGAAAAATTGTTTCCCATGTTACAAATACAAAAAGTATTTTTAAAAAAAATGTATACCTGTCCATCTCTACTGACTTGCAGTTTTTTATTTTCATTCCATGGATTAACAAGGTGTTGGATTTGCTTGTAAGGCATGCTTGACCTGAAATGGTAAACACCATTAAAAACACACTAGCAAAATAAATTGCCGACGTTTACTTAAAAAGAAATCTTCAGAAAAAAATGTCATCTTCAATGTTAATACTGTTTCTTTTAATGTTAGCATATTATGGATATTATTTTTACTTTAAACCTTTTCTGAACTCAAAAAAGGTTACAACACATAAAATGCTTCTGCCTACCAAGTACCTACTGACGTCAATGTTTCTGCAGCATCTGAATGTTTGCTAGCATAACTGGCCAATATATGTTTAGTGCTATGGAAACATGGACAAGACCACTGCCAATACGTATAATTCTTTGAATTCATAAATAACAAAAGCCTATGCTCTTTGACGCAGCCCGACCCGATTTATTGTCGGGGACAGTCTTAAGCCGTCGTGAGAAATATTAAACATGTTTAATATTCTACTACGCGACTGCCCCCGACACACACTATCGCGTCTGCGTTCAACTCACACAGACCCGACGCGACAACAAATCGCGTCGGGCTGCGTCGGCCGACGCTGTCTGAGTTGGCCTTTAGGCACAAATAAACAAGGTCTCTCTAAGCGCCAGGTCCAAGTAAACAAAAGGTAAGGTGACAGTAATTAAAAAGCAGAATAAAGATGCAAGAGATTCAAAGAACAGAGAAAAAAGAAAACACACAATCCTATATTAACAAAAATTGGAAAACCAGTCAGGAAACCAAAAACAATTGCAATATTTTGTGCGATTTGAGATTACTGCTAAAACAGTGGTCAGCAAGATCACGCGTCAACTCACAGGCTTTGGCATTTAACAAGCCTATCAAAAAACAAAACAGAGGAGATAAAAGAATAGAAAATTTGTGTTGTTAGATATAAACTAAGCAAACTTTACCTCTTGATCCACTTGACTTTAAAAGAACTACCCCCTTTTGGGTTACTAGTGGTGTCTGAAATCATTTTAGCATAGCCTTGGAAATTACCAGTGTTGTGTGATAAGAACACTAAGTAAACTGCTCTACATGTCTGTGAAATAAATATTACAGAAAATTATAGATGGCAGTATCAATGAAATATACTGTAGTGCATGGACTTAAGGAAACTAGGAACATTATTTTAATAATACAATGATATGAATTAATATACAGTGTACAGGTTAGCATGTAAAGTTTATAACCCTAATGCAGAAAATAAAATTCTTGCATCAAAAACATATGGACCATTTTAGCGGATTTATTTTGAAACAGCGCCGCCAACGTCTCGCAACTCACTGGGGGACTTCCAGCGGCCTAGCCTGAGCAGCTGCCTAGTTACAAGTGGAGCACCGCGCAGCGGATAGTGCCGCTAAGCCTGTACTATAGCAACAGTAGACAACAGATACGATCTTGCTAATTACTGTAATTACTGTATATCTAAACATTGAAATAGCTTTTTAAGACTAACGCCCGTGTTCTTAAAACAAACTTTAGTCGAACTTCGAACTAGAACTTCATTTAGTGCTAGTTGCATCTTTAACTTCAATTTGTATTCACAAACAATGTAGACGAAGTTTTTATATACGACTAAATCAAGTCCTAGTTTTAGTTCAACAGAAGACGACTGGCAAGCCACGACTATCAAACTAACCAATGAAAAGGGCTAACTTTAATAGCAGACGAAATTTTAGAGATCCGGTAACGCGGATGAATATTAAGCTGCCGTCTGTGGTTCAAAAACATATTTCCTCATAATTCATAATAGACCATCATTCCCTTAATTAATTTTCTCTAATAATAACTATATTAGTTGTTAACATATTACAATAGAGAATTTGAACAGACGCTGAAAATTTGCTTTCTTTGGAGAACTATTATAGTTGAGCCCGAGCGGTGCCATCTTTGTTATTGTTATTGTGAAGCTACGTGATCGCAACGCGAGGGGATTTCGTGCAAATCAGGAACTTTCGCATGTGGCTAGCAAAACATGTAAATTTCTCCTTCTGGAAGCTAAACTTGATGTCTCTTTTGTTTAACACACCAAAGATATATCAAACCTGCGTATACAATCGTTTTTATTCGTTTCATTTTATCATGAGTTACAAAAAACACGTTTTTAGTGGGGTAAATATTTCAAATCGGCGATTTAGCCTGACTAAAAGAATCGGATGGCGGAGGTATCATTTTAGTCGAGGTTCACGTCATTTAGTCGTAGTGCTAGTCGAAGTTCATTTTAAGAATACGAAATGACGTAATTTTAAATTTTCAGTTCGAACTACGACTAAAGTTCGTTTTAAGAATACGGGGGTTAGACTTGTTTTTAATATAAATATTTTGTGTTTTTCCGTTTAAATTTCTTGTGCTCGTTAGTAAATTAGTTTTATCATTGATTTAATTCATGATGGTAACTACGTCAAGCGAAATGCTAGGCCTCTGAAAGTCTCCCAGTGGTAGTTGCCAGGTTATCGGAAATTTTCATTTCACATTTTGTGAAAATGGTCTATAATTATACATGTACTTACAGAGTAGGCAGCATTTAGTTTCTTCTCATTAGCCCCTGTTACGGTCCATTCCCCATCATCAAGTGATGCATCAAAGTACTTATCATGAGGAGCTTTCATTATAAAGTACTTCATACCACCTTCAGCACCACCACCTTGTTTTGCTGCTGGCAATACAGCAGCAGCATCAGGGACTGGGTCCCATCTTGTGAAAGCAGTTTGACCTGGTGTTGGAGAACTTGCAACTTTTACTCTAGAATTATTGTGAAAGTTAGAGGGGTCTGAACTGGGAAACTTTGGTGAGGTCCACCGACCGGTATCATGTTTTGGTCCTTTAAAAAAATAAATAAAATGATTAATTATGAAGAATCCCAACTGAGAGAACAATTAAAAAATACTGTTTAACATGTTTTTACATGGTTGGAAATTCAATAATACACAAATTAACTCACTGAAATCTCGACGATTGTCTCTTGGTGGGGTCATGTTTTTTTGTCCATAGTCTTGAGTTCCAAAACGGCTGTTGATATTTCTTGCTGGTGGACTATTCATTGAGTCAGCAGCTAGCAAAGTAAAATTTGTAAATAATAAATTTATAATTATTTATTAAATTTAAAATATAAGATGGTTGATGGAAATATATAAAGGTACAACAGTGCCTACCCATTGGTTTTGGTCTTTGACCTATACCAACTGGTTGTTGTAGCCCTGCCATCTGCTCTTCATTACTCAAAACTTGAATGACAGATCTAAGGACAGCCTGTGTGGGTAAAATAAACAGTATCATGATAATGTTACACACAAAATACTAAATATTACAGAAAATGTAAGTATACAGTTAACTGTTGAACAACTGCATATACATACTAAATACAATAAAGATTACATTGCATATTAAATTGTTACAAACAAATTATTATTGCTCTGACAAGTTACTAAAATTTAAATTGCTTATTTACAAGAATCAAACAGGTTATCAGTTTTTATGCTAACAATATATTGGCCACAACTAAATGAGAATAACATGAGTAATACCTCATCTGCCTGCGACCAGGGCTTGGCTGGGGCTCTCATTCGCCGAATAAATAAGGAATGCCATTTCTGCCTTAGTCTAAATGTAAGACTAGCGGCCTGTGGGAGAAAAACATTTTAACTGATAATCAGAAATAGAATGATTCAAAATCACAAATATAATATCAAAAATATATTTTATAAACATTAAATAAAAATCAATTATATTATCTACATTTTATTATATGCATTTACCACAAACTATGTATAATAACATTTAATATAACATCACAAATATCCAACAAATATCACATCAATTACAAAAATGGTAAGTCCTTATTACATTATTAAATATATTAAATTAGAAAGTTGAAGTTAAAATAAATATAAAATAGTATATTTAAGAATTTTATGGAAAAATATGAGAACAACCTAGACTGAAACTACAGTAAACTGTGCCTACATGACTAATGCTTCTTGGGGAGGAAAAGAATATTCAATCCAGAAAAAGAGTGGAAAAGGCAGCAATATCACACATTCTACTACAACCTATAAAGTTTATTCTACATACCACTGGATCTGCTTTAAGTGAAATCCAATTATCCATCTTTATCAGTGACTTGGTGGTATCCTCTGTATCTTCTTCACCTTCACTACTGCTTGCAGCACCACCACCAGCTTGCCCACAGTATTGTTGGATAAGGTTTTCTTCAGCTACAACAAACGCATCGTGGGGTAGGCGGGCAGGGCCAGCAAACAGAGCAACTGTGATTGGCGTCATTAAAGTTAAGCATCGTACACTTGTCAGGTGATTTACTCTAAGAGAAAATAAAATTTTATCTATGTAAATTGTATATGAATCGTGGGAAAAGTTTGACAGATATTTAGGTCATCGGTGGATATATCAAGTAGTGTAGCATTTCGAGAATATGTAAGGAAACCCGTTGGCAAGCAAAAACCAACACGAACTACAACAACAAACTAAGATTTTAAAAGTAAAAAACCATGAAAACAGACAAGTAGAAGAGTCATCAAGTAATTTGCATTTGCAATGTCTATGCAAGACAAAACAGAATATCAGATAATAAAAGACAGAGGATTCCTAAAACATGAACCACAATCACTATCCTTAGGAGTCCTATTGCATTGTTGCAAGAGTAAATACTACAAAACAGATACATATAAAAATCTCTATTTTATTATTATTAGTAATATTGTAGAAAGAAATATTGAATTTCATTATAAACATACAAGTTTCTGAAGTTCAGTTGGCAATTATCAAAAATAAGAATATAACTCATGACAAAGACTAAGACACAGTCCATGTTGTTCTTACCGAGTTAACTCTTCATACATCAACCAGTCTGTTGGCAGGGAGTGGATAATTTCTCTTTCTTGCGCTGATCGATTCTTGGCTCCAGTTGGATCAACAAGAGTACATGATGGATGAAACCGAACTTTGGATTCCCTCCTGTTTAAGACATAAATTCAATTGTCTGTTTTAACTACAGTATCAATATGCATAACAAGAATAATGGAAATGCATAATGATGACCAATGAGTTTGAGATGATGTCGGGTGTATAATACAACACCCTCCGCCCCACACCCCACCTTTCCCCTTTCATCATTGGAAGTTCTACTTTTTTCAGCCATTATGGTCTTAATACTGCATCTAGTTGGCTAAAAACGGAGCCAAATGCTAATTTTCCCAAATAATACCATTTTATGAGTTTTTAACTGAAGGTTAGACACTGGACTAGAAATACCCCTAGATTATGAATAATAACTTTACAAAAATGCTCCCAAGAAATAAGCAACTATAGGCATGTTCAGACGAGTTAGAAGTACACTTTGAAGTAGAACTTTACTTGTCGTAAGCCCTGCGTAGTGTTTGTGAAGATGCTCTTTGTGACAGGCACTTTCCGCAAGACAACGGGGAGGCGTCAACAATGACAATTCGGCTTAAGCGCCCTATTGTTTACTGTGGTCTTCACGCTCTAATGAGTGTTTTAACTAACACTATTGTTAATCCAAGCCAACTTAGGTAATTTAATTGTCTTTATTATATGATTATTGTTTTGTATATTTCTTTTGGCTAAATAAAGAATGAATGAATAAATAAATAATGAGGACAAAACCACTGTCCACCTGTCTTCCCGTCCTGTTATGTAAAGTGCCTATTAAGTTACTTCACAGTTACTACCGACAATTGACTGCAGAGCAAGTGTGGTAATTCCACTTACGCAAGGAATATTAGGAATACACATTCAGAGTAGTGCTGCAAGTAAATACTACCTTTATTGCGATCTAAATTTTTTTCAAAAGATAATTACCTAGAAATGAGTGCCAAAATAATTTTTCCTGTGATGTGTAAACTCTTGTAAGACACAATGTTTTCATAATTGTGTACAATTTCAAGAATTTATGTGCCAAATAACCGTTGAGAAAGTGACAATTCTATTATGATATTAATTGGCATAGTTACTTCTAAGCTTTAAACTACATCAGAAGTAAACAGAACATTATGCCCTGGGTAATCATGACATGGACACTTGTCTGTCATAATTTTACTTCAGATGGAAGGCCACCTGATTATAACCTGAATTCCTTCCTGTATCACACAGAATTGGCTTTCATGCATTTAAAGACACCAAATGGTCAGCTTCAATGAATGGACTGCCATTCTTATATAGAATAACTAGCAAATTTGACTGTGTTGTTTGGCCATTGATGTGAAAATAAATACAAGCTCACTGTGTTGTCATGATCATTCGGTCTCGATTTACTCTTATGATGTTTGGGTACATGCCAGCACACAGCGCTGCTTTTACTACAGCCCAGTTCTCTGAGTTGGCATTCAGATCTCGGATATCTCCTGGACCTCTAGCTCGTACAAACCCTGATGCTCTTAGCTGACCTAAAAGTTGTGTTCTGAAATAATAAAATTACTATCATCAGCAAGTTTAACCTTCAGAATGCCAGCATTATTTTCATCATTAATCTACAATAATAATAATAATAATAATAATAATAATAATAATAATAATAATAATAATAATAAAATAAATAAATAAATAAATAAAAAAACAATAATAATAATAATAATAATAATAATAATAATAATAATAATAATAATAATAAAGTGAATTAATCATTATTACCATCATCAAGAGCATACAAAACATATCATTTTCTGTGAATATGCACTATTCAAAGGCAAGCACTATCATTTACCATCCTAACCATATTTTTCTTCGAAAAAGTGTTCTTTACAACCTCACTATCAAACAAACTCTGTTGGCCATGGTAACAATTACCACTCAAACAACTTATGGTATTTTGCAGTATATTTAGGTACTTAGGAATATGGTGATGATAATCACTATCATCATCACTTGACACCCCAACAATCATCCCTTAAAGTTTACCTCATTCCAACAATCATATCCATTGTTGCTTGTGATAGGAAGTTGCGTTCACAAAATTGCTTGTCCCAGCCATCACTTTTAGCTCTTTGCCAAGCCTGATAATGAAGAAACATTTATGATAGGGCCAAATTATGGTAATATTGCTTCAAAATCTGTGGTCAAATATATTATTTATAACCTAAAACAATTTAAGAATTAATATGAAAACAACTTACACACACACCAGCAAGCCTACACTAAGAGAGCAATAAAATATTAGAAAATGATAGTATAATTATATAATTAGTGAAATACTCAAACAACAAAGGATAACATTTGAACAGGGGATTTGGCATATATATATTGGTTTGCCCAAGAAATTATAGGACAGACAGATTTGGTTTTGCATAAACACCTTGGAAATGTCTTAATGTGTTTTGAAAGGCAATTCCATAAATGTTTATTATCTGTTTCTAACCCAGAATAAGAAGTTACAAGCTTTGAAAGGCCAATTCCAAAATGTTTACTATCTGTTTCTACCACAGAATATAAAGGTACAAGCCCTAAAATATATAAAAGAATAAAATAAGGGGACTAACCTGGAATACTCGTAAGTAGCTCATGTGGTCACTGAAAGTGTTTGCAGAATATTTCTTTCTGATACTTTGAGCAGCTCGCTTGTTGGATGGATTCATGGGCAATATAACTGAAATTAGGACAATGCATTTTAGATATTGTAATATTAATATCACAATCAATATTTACCCATAATAAATTATCATCACCATCAATCACCTTAATTATATGAGAATGTAGTGCAGGGGTATGGTTTTTGGCTAACAATCAAGGTATCAGGGTTCGAGCCTTAGGCTGGCATTTATTGTCCATGGGCAAAGCTCATTATCCACATTGCCTTTTCACCTAAGAATTATAAGTTAGTATATGATAGGTTTGAATAAATGCACTGCAAGCTACAACATAATGGAATAATCCTAAGTAAGGAAAACATGTGTTTGAACCTCCCAGATAATATTAAAACAAACTCTGAATCCATGACACTTTTAAATTTCAAAAATTCTATTTGAAATCCTTTATAAGAAAACTTGCATGTTATTCTTCAATGTAAATTACTGTATTGTGAATTCTTTAAGAAATATATATATATATATATATATATATATATGAGTTGCTGCATAGACAGATTTGTATATATAAAATAAGAAGTCAAACCAAGTTCTGTATTATCTGCTGGATGTATTGCTTTCAATGTAGGCATGACTAGGTGTAATAGAAGTAGATGTAAGACATGTAAGCATGTTGTATGTACGGATACTATTGTAGGACCTTCCAGTAATTTTTCTATTCGAGAGAAATTTACATGTACCTCTAGTAATGTTATATATGCTATTATTTGTGTTAAATGTAATAAGGTTTATATAGGAGAAACGAAAATGAGGCTTGGAGATAGATTCGTTGAACATTTGCACTCTATCAACCTTAACACATCAGGTCTTCCTATAGCTGAACATTTTAATGATAATCATGATATTAATAACGATATATTAGTTACCGGTATCAAACAATGTAATTCATCTGAATTTAATCGTAGACGTTTGGAGGAGCGTATTATTTTTCAACTAGGTACTTTGAAACCTCATGGACTGAACGTCTCATTTAAATCTTTTAGAGATTATTTTGTTATTTTATTTATCTTGCTATGATGCATTCTGTGACCATTATACTATGACTTTTATTTTGCCTTTTATTTGTTTTCTTTTTTTAGACCTATGTCATTACACGCCTTCTAGTCGTAGCTGTTTGTATTGTCTTACTATGTTCATTGTTTCACTATGCCGCCAGTACCGCCGTTTAGGCTTTACCGATGCCACCGCTTCTTTTATATATGTTCTCTATATAACCCTGTTCATTCCACTATCCTGAGTAACTAATGATGTGATCGCCATGGTTACCAACCTCTCACGAGCAGATATGTGCTGCCACTCTCCCCAGCCGATCCAAGTGCGTTGTATGGCTGACAGGAGTAAAAGCCTTCATCGCTATGTTGAACATTGTCAATAGTTAGTGAGCCGGACTTACTAAGTTTCAGCCTAAAAATACAAAATGGAAATTAATAAATGATCTCTCCATTCATTCAAAACTGAGGATTCACCGTGTTTCTCAATACTAAATTTTTTCTCTTAACGATCACAACTCGACTTGCTGCTCCTTGAAACTGCATGTTCTGTTGTCTTGTTTGTAGGCGTTTGTGCTGTGTGTTAGTGCTGTCTCTTATACACATCTAGATGTGTATAAGAGACAGTATATTATCTTTCTTTCTTTAACAAGAAATTTAAAAGTTATACAATGATGATGAACAATACATTTATGTACCGCAAATATATACATACATGGATCTCTGTATGCCAATGAGCAGACAATTGTGAGAATAGGATCCAAGCACTTGAATACAATTGAGTAAAGAACCATCTTGCCAAGTGTGGGTTCAATCGGAAGGTCAGCAAGGTGATGGCCGAGTTCTGTTAGGTCCTCCCAGTTATCCATTGCATCAACATCCTAAATACAATGAGTGATACAATCATACTAGAGCGTTAACTACAATAAATTTCATCTTTTGTGTTATAATAGCCTATGTTAAATATAAAATGTTTTAGGCATTTATGTAGCATAATATTTATATTACAAGATTGATTGAATATTTAGAATTTCACCTTAGGGTTAACATTGTCTGACATTATAACGTAACTCTAAAATGATTTACATAGGCCGTTTGTAGAATATACCTTTAATAACTGGATAGAATTCTTGATTGTAAGAAAGTTTGGAGGTTCAGGGGCTTTACAAAGAAAGTCTGCTATTGGTGTATTCATTGGAGCTAGCATTTTGGTGTGCAGGCACAGTTCATGCAGCGGAACCCGCAGCAGCTCAGGGGTCTGGAATTCATGAAGGGTCTTGAAGCGAACACGACTTAGAAGGTGAAAGCACATGCCAGGCCTACAACGGCCAGCCCTGAATGGAAAGAGATACATTAAGGTTACAATATAATCAGTTAATTTCATTAGCAATCATCTTAACATATGAAATGGAGATGTTACAAGGATATTGGGTCTAAAACTTTACAAGGCAAGTCTAAAATTATGTGACAGATGCAATTGGCACCTTTCACTTTGTGGATTATAAATAGTAGAGATGATGATGATGATACGAAGATAATGATGATGCTGATAATAATGATGATGAAAACAATATGGTGATAATTTTAATATTGATTTTAAAAATGCTATTAATGAAGATGATGATGATGAAAGATTCATTATTTAGATTTGAAATTCGTATTTTTATCAGTATTAAAAAAAACCTGGGTGTGTACCGTACCTTCCCTTTCTTTGTATTGCACTTGACTTTGATATCCAATTGCTCTTCAATGCTGACACAGATGTGATTGAGTCGAAACATTTCTACAAGGAAAAAAAAACATCACAGAAACATTCTTTGACAAAAAAAGGTTTCCTACACCACTAAAGGTTAAAGGGGTTGTATGATATCAGTTCGCTCACGGCTGTTACCTGCATATTGTATGATATATATGTATTAATCAAGTTTACGTAAGGCAATTAGTCTCAATCTTCAACTAAAGCCTTTTAAATTGTATTTTAGCCTTTATTTAATCAATTATCCCATATTTCCGTCTTCAATTTACTTCGTATTTTCCTGCACACTGTAAGCGTACCAATGTCGAACAAAGACAACGCAGGTAAGCAAACAACACGGCATGCGACTCAGGTGGTACAGGCCCCTAAGACTAAAGTATTGCAAAGCTCTGAACTAGCAGCCATGATAACGGTAGGAATAGCTGAAGCCTTAACACAAAAGTAATAATAGACATTTTTGGTGGTCTAGTCTCAGATGTTATTGACTCTAAGCTTACTCCGCTGATCGAGCGGGTCGATCGAATGGAGAGTCATATTTTTGATTTGGAAATTACTAATGATGATTCAACGCTGAATCATGAAAACTCGAACGAAAAATACGAGCTCAGGAAGAGGAATTGGATGCACTTCAGTAATATAATAGAATTGTCTTCAAATTTTTGGAATTAATGAGTCTAAAGGTGAAATCACTGAGGACATTGTCATCAACCTAGCAAAAGACAAGTTAAACGTAGATTTGACCGTTGGTCACATAGATCGATCCCACCGGACAGGCAAGAGGAATGATACACGATCTAAACCAAGACCTATCATAGTGAAATTTACATCATATCAGTACCGAAAGAGAGTAATTATCCAAAGGGAAAAGTTAAAAGGTTCTGGTATATCAATCCAAGAGGATCTTACAAATATGAGAAGGGCTTTACTAACCAGAGCTAGTAAGCACCCGAATGTAAAAAGTGCCTGGTCTACATAATTTATAAAACTAATTCACAATTAATCCATAAAAATATCATAACAAAATTATATGTGATTTTACCTCTTTCACCTTTCCTGAATCAATAACAAAAACAACATCACTAATTGTCACACTTGTTTCAGCAATGTTTGTTGAAAGAATCTGTAAAAACAAAGTATTTTAATCAATACAGGTGTTACAATGTACAGAGAAGACACTGTCTGAGTTGGCCTTAGTAAATAGAGTAATGACAATACATTTAGCCACTGAAAATAGAGCAGTTATTGCCAGCCACTGACTAGAAAATCTAGTTGGCATATTATTACTTTTCATGATATATATTGTATTTGACAAAATTTTGTAATTATCTAAAGCCCCTACCCACTGGACTTAATTTGGTCAAATTAACCGAGTCACTGGCTAAATTGACCAAAAAAAAAGTCGGTTACAATTCCCTCAGGGTTAAATTAACCAAGCCGAATGGTTAATTTTACCGACCTCAGCCTGCCCAGTAAAACTTACCACGGTATCGGTTAAACTAACCACGCTGGTCAAGAAGTCCAATCTGAACGTGCAACATGGTTAAAACTTTCTGAGTTCATGACCTTCGGTAGCGCCCTCAATAATATTTTTTATACACACCGGTTAAATCTTGGTAAAACTAACCACGTGAATAATCCAAGTGCGAACAATGGTGAAATGTACCCATGACTTTGGTTAAAGTTACCCTGGTTAAATTTACCATTTTTTAAATCCAGTGCGAACAAGGCTTTAGAGATACACTTACCATTCCTTTCTTCCTTTTTCTTCCAATTATTATAATTAAAATTATTGTTATTTTTTTTCTTTTATATCTAGTGGTTTTTACACAGCACATTGAGATCTATTATGGAAGGTGCTATAGAAATACTAAACTATTAACTATTACCCATCCTGTTAATGGTAGAGTCTAACCTCACAAGGGAATGACTAAAATAAATGTACTTACTATCTTTCTGATTCCCTGCGGAGCTATTCTAAAGACTTTCTTCTGGTCACTACTTTGCATATTAGAATGTAATGTGTAAATATAGAACCTGTCTGAATTTCCAAATGTGGTACTGTCTGACAACAGCCAATCTCTGAGACTCACAATATCCGAGTACCCAGGTAAGAATACAAGGATGGAACCTTCAAAAAAGTATTGCAAGTTTTAAATAATTTGTAATATCCAATCACAGGCAAACAATTTTCTTTTCAAAAATATAAAATCGGAGAAAATAAAAACAACTTTCAAACATTAAAAAAATGTTCAATTAATATTTTATTAACTGAAAGAGTTTTCCAATTTAAATCTTTGAACATAATAATACACTGTACTTGACTTGACTTTGGTTATTGTTCTCGCAAATTTATGAGCTAGGCAAAGAATACAAGTATACAGTTGTTAATGGCGAGAACAATTTTTCCCATTTTTTTTTCAACTGAAAGCTAATGAAATAGCTTAATATAAAAAAAACCAATGTGGGCAATGCAAATTTTAATTTTTTCTTTCTATTTTTTCTTGCTCACCACATATAGTTTATGTTAAGGAGCCTAAATAAGAAAACTGAAATACATAAAAAAGGTACAAAAAGCTATAGAGTACTACAGTGTTAGTCACGATGCCATGTGATACTACTCTGCTGCAATCGGCGACACAAAATTAGTTCAACCGACGCCATTTTTTCCACTGACAAATGATCCCAATTTCTAACATAATTATTAAGAAGTTGTATCTTAATTTTTCTTTGTAAATGTTAATTGATGATCAAATGTGTGTTTGATAACTAATATAATGCGAGCTTTTTGTGTTTTTAGTACATTTTGATGGCAAATTATTAGGTTTTAAAATGCCTATTCCAGAAAGCCTATTCTAAACTATTAAGATTATGAAGTCATTCAGGCGTAATGAATGGTAACCAACGTACAGAGGGCGCCACCTGGTGTTGTGACGACACGACTGTGGTACTCTATAATAAAAACCTTTGCCTACCTTCCTGAGAGTTCTTAATAATGTAATGGAGAAGACTAAGTATGAGATCAATGTCAACTTTCTCATCATCAAAACTATGATGGTAGGCTTCCAACAGCTCCTTATCCTCAAGGCTTATGTCATCACTTTGCTTCACTAAATCAGCTCCTGTGTTACATGTACTCTGAATAGCAGCACTAGATGTAAATACAGTAAAACATGCATTTTACGTAACTCTTGGTAAAAAGGGGTGTTCGTTAATTGAAAAATTCATAGTAAACTAAATTGGGTGTCAGTTTAAAATGTCTAGGAAAAGCTATCACCTGCCATTGAGCGCCGATAGGCTGACGGCGGCCAGGCCTAGCACGAAACCGACAGAGCAGCTGCGTGGTCTATCGCGCTAGAGCCTAGCTGAATTTATCATTCTTCCACTTAACAAAATGTTATTTTAACTCTTAATCAAACATCTGTTATGTTTTATGGACCTTTTTTATTGTGTTCTTTCTAGTTGTTAGATAGCCGCAATCACATCTAGCATTCATGTCGTCAATAAGTTGGTGACCCAACACTCTCGTTCGTCATTGTAAACATGTGCGCTCAATCCGACGACACTTGCGTTGGTAGTTCGTTGTTCTGGTTAGGTTTATTACATTATAGTGATTATTATACCAGAAATGGAAGAAAAGATCGAACTATTAATAAAATAAATACAACAAACTTGATTTTATCAAGAAAAATATCCATTATCACTTTGTAAAACGTGCGCAATCAGACTTTTTTATGGTAATTAATTGATCAGTGATGGAATCATCAGGGGCAAAGACACTTCGTAAAATCGATGTGCGTAAAATGGACGTTTTACTGTAATAAAATATTGTTAACATACATAGAATTACATGCATACAATGTACCTCAACTGTTTGTTTCATTTGTTCGTTTGTTGAGAAATTTAAATATTAAATTGAATAAGGTAAACACAAACTAAATGTGCTTTATAACTTACATATGTGCTTCAATAGTTTCAATCACTTCTGCTTGTCCCATTCTTTTAGCCCAGTCTAGAGCGGTTCTGTAAATACCGGAGAGATTTAACAAATTTTCATACTTAAGTACAATTCCACAACAAAACAACCATAAACTCTGTGATGATGATGACAATGACAATGAGGATAAATAAAAATATATGATAAACATGAAGATGATGATGATATTGGTGATGAAGTCGAAGATGGTAAGACGATGTTGATGAAAAAGATTAAGATGACAATCGTGACGAAGATATAAATAACGTTGAAGACAAAAATAACGACAAAAATCAATGAAGAATATTAGGGGCCAAACAGGTTTATACCCAAGGACACAGAATTTTAGTATTTTCAATTTTAGTAACATAAAATGGTCTTCAATTTCATCTTGAATAATGCTACTAAAATTTAAAATAAATTGTGAAAGAGACTTACATGTCATTTGAAGCTCTAATATTAACATTTGCACCAATGTTTAGAAGACGCTCTACAGCATCATTGTGGCCTCGTCCAGCTGCAACCATTAATGGGGTAGCACTGGTTCCAGAGTGCGAGTAGTCAACTGAAGGTGACAAAAATGTACAAAATCAACCCACTTAAAAAACTTTTAATGACCTATAATAAATATCATAGTGCCTTTTATATAGTACCTAATATAGTTAGCATAAATTTATGACTTGTAATTGTTGATACCCAAATAAGTATGGTAATCATCTTCAAGTGAAGCAAACTGCATCCTTCTAAACTTATGTCTATCAACTAGTCCCTTTCATTTCTCTATGTCCTTTTCATTTCACTCTAACAAGTGTGTATAGTAATAGATGGACAAAATAAATAATGTTCAAAATTACCTGAGACATTTTCACTGAGAAGTAAATGAAACAAGTGGGTGAATGAATCCTCATCACCAACTAACCAGCAATTACTGATAGCTTGGTCCATATCTTGTCTCAGCCAGTCAGATAAACCATCTGCATTCACTGATGCCTTTTAAATTATGCAAGAACAAATAAGTCAAGATATATAGATGTCTATCAATGGTCTTGAGCGGATTCGATTTCATGGAGAGTGCAATGTAACAATGAATGTACAAAGGATCATAGATAATACTCGTTTTATCCATCCATTCATAATGACAATCCACTCTGGCTGTCACCGACAATCAGACATCAAGTGCACACAGCAGAGATGGATTTGTCGGCTGATGGTCCCATAACCACTGAACGACGCAGTGTATCTTTGGCTTAAGACATTTTTTTTTTGGCTTAGGACCTTCTGATATTCTCTAACAATTATTTCACTAATTATTTATACAATTCATATTCATTTTATCCAATTTAATATTTTAGAACAAGTACCAAAAATATATATACCAATAGCAAACTTTTTCTAAGTGACAACTGTTTTCACAAGACAATCATAATCATTGTTTATTTTTGACAATGCAGTCCCACCATCACTTACATCTGTACTTGAAGATTAGTTGCCAAGTTCCAGTTAAATGGTACAGATTTCTTAATTTAATCGATTGTATATTGGTTAAGTAACTGAATATTCATTTAAAGTTATAAGAAATAAAATCATACTACTTTGTCAAAAATGGTGTTTTTAAATGGGGAAAGGTATAAAAAAAATGAAATACACAATCCCTAGAAGTTAGACTTACTGTTGGATCCACTATTCCAGGAACTTCACCAATGATTAAGGGTTTTACGTCTACTTCTTCTGTGTCTTCCTTTAACCACTGTTCTAATTGGTTTTGCTGTTTCTTTACTATACATATACAATTGAAAATATATAATATTTGTATTATAAAAGCACTGAATTAGGGGAAATATGTATATAATCAGTTTATGAAAATTTTATTTTCGTTTGTGGATTTTATAATTCTTAAAGAAATGTATTAACACTGCACAGATAACAACCATTATGAGATTATTAATAGAATAGTAGCCATCTTCTTTCATCTTCCAAATATATATAAATTCAATTAGTACCATAATGGCGAAAGCATGGGAAGTGTATGGTGGATTACTTACATCGCGCAGCTTCTTTTTGGTGTACTTTCATCTTATCATTCACATAACCAGTGCTACAAATACAGAGGTAATAAATTAATATATATATGACTTTAAAATTCTGAAATTTTTTATGCATTTGCTAAGACATAAATTTACACCTTTGCAAGGTACAACAAATTTCAATGTTGAATACAGTACAATCGTTGATATTTTTGTTTAAGACTTAAATGAAAGAATAGAAAAAATTCTAACCATTTTAATGCATCTTCTAAAAATAATTGTTCTACAGGAAACAAGTTACCAGGAACTGGAAGAAAAATATTGTATATGTGGTCATCCAATAGCTGGCTAAGACATAGATAAAAAAAAAAAAACACACTACCTTGTACAGTAAAAAGGTTCACTGATTAATCTCAGATAACATAGTATAATACATACTTGAAGTATCAAAATTGTGTTGGGATTCAATATTTCAACATTAATTATGTTACCATCAGGAATGATGAGGAATCGGGTATCATTCCTGATGATGATATAATTAATGTTGAAATATTGAATCCCGACATGATGGCGTGCATTTCGATACTTGTAGTATGTATTAAACTATCTTATTTGTACAGTAGACAATGGTATAGATCAAGCTGTAGTTGAAAGTATAGAAAATGTAATACCTTGAATAACAGGGCAGGAGCTGAAGTACTTAACAAACAAATTGATATCTAATGCAGCACTCATCAAAATCAGCTTTACGTTTCTGTACTTGACAAGAAGGTCTCTCAAACTAATTAACAAAAAGTCACTGAAACGGTCTCGCTCATGAATTTCATCCTAAAAAGAGTAAAACAATAATTTTCTTTACAAGCGGTAATTGTGTGTAAAAAGAAACTGCTGGCAAATGCAGTGGGCCCAGCTTTAGGATAATACAGACATAATTTGATTGTGAATGTTATAAAGACAGTGTATATATGGTTTTGTGCAATTCTGCAACTTAGTATAGTTAATTGATTTGATGATTTTTATATTTTATAGACTTTGTCTTTTTAACAAAGACGACAATTTTCATGACATTAAAATTCATTCTGATTCTGATATCCTTAACAACAGTTAATACACAAATGAACATTATAATTACCACAATGATATGTGTAACAGATTTGAGCAAATTACTTCCACCCATAAGTGTACGTAGCAGTACCCCATTGGTACAGAAAGTCAACAGGGTCCGAGGAGATGTTCTGTAAAAGGACAAAGATTAAAATTTAACTTAAAGAGATACTGATTTTTAAATCTTATAAATTATCAATGTTATATTTCATATTAGTATTTTAAGGATTAATGAAATAACTTGAAATCAGAGAAAAACAGCTACCAGTAGCAATTCTGATCAATAGATCAAGTATTATGTGCTATAGAAATTAAAACTACTGTATTGTATTAGCCTATGATGCAGGGTCTACAATACAGCATCACTATAGTTGTTATACAATTGCTATAAAAGAGTGACATTATTTAATTAATGCTGTGTAAAAATCAGTGCAGTATGGACAAGTTGAAACAACTAACCTGCTTTCTAGCCTGATCTGATATCCAACAGTCTGGCCGATCTTTTCACCTCTCTCAGCAGCAACTCTCTCTGCTACAGACAAAGCTGATAACCTCCTAGGCTGTGTGCATATAATCCTACAGTTCCTACTAGCAGCATGGTGATTGTCAAGAATGTACTGAGGTACCTACAAAAAGTAACAATCTTTTGTTTCCATCATGTACAAATCAATAATTCCTGTAGAGAGCATATTATACATTCGAAAACATCCTGATCATTAGGCCTACAAAAACAAAACTGTTTGTTTGTCCTCCAGCGCCCGCCCCTAGCTCACTGAAAAATAGATGCATTGTTTTTAAGAAGTTTTTTTTAACAAATTTAAGAGATTTTTATTTTTCTCCACTTTCCACATGAAAGTTGTCTAAATTTGGTGTCCGATGAAAGGTATCGCCATTCTAGGCCTAAATTATTAAATTATTGATTATGGGTTATTTTTATTCAGTCTGATGAATATTCTTTGAAAAACAAATAGTGAGACAGGCTTACTTGCTAGCATTGCGATTTAATATGTTAATTTTGGTGACAGGAGAAAAAAATATTTTTGCACCCCCACCCCCTCCTATACAATTTTCAGCATTTAAGGGCAAACAATATTTTTTAGGCCTTATCATATTGTTTTTTTAAACTTAAAATAAGCGCAATTAATACATCTATTACACAATTATAATTCTGAAATAAATCAAAATAAATGAAATAAATTTAACCTGAGTTGTTTTTCCTGAACCTGTATCTCCAGCAATAAGCATCACTTGACTATTCTCAATTGCAGCTAATATGTCTGCTTTCTTGGAAAAGACTGGCAGTGTTTGTCGGAAGGCATCTAGATCTGACGTGGATCGTTTGGTTGGTACTTGGGGAACAGTGCTGTTTAATCTTCCTGTTGTTTTGTTTACTTCTCTAAAATGTTGTCCTGTAAGATGAAATTTGCAACAATGTATCAGATGATTCATTGCAAAGTTACATTATATATAATAGAGTGCAATTTATAATGATTAATTTAAATGATTGTATACATGACAATTAGCATTATTCACATAAATACAACCACCAGTAGGCTCAGTCATCTTACTGTCATCAACTCCAGTAATCAAAGATACGACATTGCTACTACTACCACCAACATCACCATCACAATTACATTTCCCAACCAATGACAGCATGATGAAGGTAGTGAACAATACAATAGCCTACTACTTGAAGCTTCACACATTCAGTGAGAAAATAAGATAAATTCAGACAATAAATTTTGAATTAAAACCTGTAACACAATTGGCTGTCGAGAATTTTACCATTTTCCCCTGAGAGCCTTCCCCTTTCCGTCCTGGGAAGAAGGTCCTGTTTTTCTCGAACAGTAACCGGAAATCGTTGAAGAAGATTGTGACACTCTTGATGGGACTCTCGACTAAACTGGAAAACAGATACACTGCCAGGAGTGGATGTTAACTCTTTCTTGAACAGGGATAAAAACCTATTGCTGCCCTTCCTATAATGAAAAAAAAAAATATGATGCGAGACTAAGCGCACTTCAGAAAATTACATCTTCAAAAATTTTGTGAATTGTGTGTGTATGATTTTTAATGAGAATTTCCCCTCAACAGACAGTAAGCAACATAGTGGTTGAGGTTATTTGTCTTGCAAGGCAAAAATGTTACTGTGTATACCTGCCTTGAGCAAAAATCTTATTTAATAGTCAACATAACAAACCTGAATGGCCAAATATAAATGTTCATTTAACTGGCTCGCTGAGGTGAGAGGTGGGAGTTAGATACAGTGTTATGAAAATCAATAAAAACATATCGTAGGTAAGCACACTGTCAAGCATATTTTTATATGAAAAAGCTGGTTAAGCAAACTGCTCTTGTGATAACATTTCAGTACTAACTTACCCTTTACTCTTTGACTTGAGGCCAAGTTCTTCGGCTAGTCTGTGTATGTATGCTCTTTCAGTAGATGTCAAAGAAGAAGGAAATTCCAAAACTACGAAAGAAGTAGGCCATTTCATTTATTTTTGTTTTTCATTCATTAGGATTTTTTCAATTTAAAACACTGACTACAATGTTTGAAACCCGCAAAAAAACAACTTTTGTGCCAATTTTGTTATTAAAATAAAAATAAATTATAGACGCTCTTTTATTCTAACCTGTTTTTGTTTCATCATATCTGAACTCCTCGACAGCAGCACCTACACCAATTTTCAGTTGTTCTTCAACACAAATTGTCTTCTTTCTCCAACCTTCTCCTTTCCTATTTTGTCTAGACATCCTACTTGGCACCTATAATTAGTAAAATACACAACAGATATATAATTGGCAATACAAAGCAAGGAGTTCAACCTTTTCTATGTGTAGTATTTCGGTACTAATAATTCGGAATGAAGAGTTATGACTACCTCTAAATTTAAGGTATAGGCATTGCAGTGGAAGGGTTGAAACATGAGATGAGCTTCTCCACGAAAGGTTTAGTGATGGTAATTTCCTTTCTAGGTGATTTACGACTTTTACCAAGCCTATTTTTCTCCACATGCTTAGCATGATGGGAAATCAAATTATTTTTCCTACCCAAAAAAAAAATTTTAATGGGGTAATGGTACAATAGGCCCATACAGAAACTAACTGCATCATCCTTAATGTAGTGTAGTATTAAGGTTTATGCAGTTTAACTTGCATAACCATTGGAATCGATACCCTTCACCTGATAAATGCCTTAAATTGGTTTGACAGTTTTAATGGTCAACTTGAGTATACAGATAATCTAATAATATAACTGGACATTGTATAACTTTACCCTAGTCAGTTGGACTTGGCTTTTCTCACACTATGAATCTATGATTGTCAATTTTGAGCCTAAGCTCTGAAGTTTGTGATACATCTTAATTAACAGTTTTTTGGTAAACAAGTTACTAAATCATAGAGAAAGAATTTCTCAATGATCCAATCAGAAACTCTAAAAGTATTGGTTGACTTAGTGAGACACACCCCCATTACCTAAAGTATAATAGGCAAACACCCCCATATCACTGATTCAGTAGTTAGATTCAATTTAGTAGCTAGGAGTAAAGTACAGAGCCGAGCTGACTCCACTCAAAAAGGGTTCTCTACTGAAACCTGGAGTTTAGCTGATTGTAACCAACGTACAGTTTGTGTGAATAAAAGTTTGCAGTGTACTAAAAGGAACTGTGTTATACTACTGTACTCATTAAAAGTCACCTAACTAACCTATATTTAACATTAAGGTACTTAATTTCTTTTTTAACAACCAATGACTATAGTTATACAACAGTGAGCCCCTATCATAATGTGTATGACAGATGATATCAAATTTATGTCTTAACAGAACATTAAGCTGTAAGTGCTAGCTTTGAAAATAATAGGTGGATCTTCAAATCAAAACTCATAAATGGATAATATTTGGGCATGGAGAGAACATGTTAGGCTGCTGGAAATATATTACATGGTTTTCGTCAGGCACCTGCTCATGATTTTAGGCCCCGTGTCAAAAAAAATTATCTTTCGTAAAGATGACAATACTTTTAATTACATTTTGTTACATTTCAGAAAAAAAATCCAACTCGCCTCACCGTGAAACGCACTCAAATCAGGCCAAAAAAAAAGAAGAAATGTTGTGTTGCCCTTAAATGTAAAAAATCGAGGTCGTCGGTCGTTCAGATTTTTTTTTTTTTTTTATAGTACACTTTTTCGTCCCACACATGCTTGTGTGTGACGAAAAAGCATGGCAACTAGAGAGAGTGTCAATTATCAACTACACGCTAGCGTCAAATCGATACAACAAATATGCCCCTATATCATTTCCCTGCTACGAAAACATGTCCAGTTTGAACTCAAATTACGTTTCTGTACGAAACTGTAAGAAAATGAGACATAAAGAAAATGATAGTTAATAAGTTGCATAAACTATTTGTCCTAGTTATAAAATGGAGATACGTGCGGAAAATATAAAATATAAGCCTTAAAACTTATCAAAAACCCATGAAAATTACAAATGACAGTGTACGAACAAACACATATAGCTCCACTTCAAATAGTCTTTGTAGAGAAAATTATTTTCTCTACAAAGACAAAATTTTAACAACTGAGGGCGCAAGATCCCACTTGCGTGTCAGTTGAGAAAACACGGGTAGCTGAAGTTTTTCTCGCAAATCTGACTACTAAACCATATCCAAATTTCACGTTCCACTTTTGACCATGAGTTGTGCTTCACACTTGCCGCTGAGGGCGGCGTTCCGGGTACCCTGCGTCAAGTGTATAATGAAATAAATTTAACAAAAATATCAGGTTTGAATACCAGTTTTATTCTTTATTCTCATTAACAAAACAACTCAAACATACATCAAGCTATAAAGCTATACATAATTCTCCCTTAGAGATACTTATCCATAACAATTCTGAGCAACAGCTGACTACTTTCTTCTTCCTACCATAGTACATCCAGGTACCATTGTACATCCAGGTACCATTGTACATACAGATTCTTAAACTAGGCTGGGTAGTAATAGATAAAGACTAATAGAAGGACAGTTGTCTATTGTTAAGGTAGCTGTTGTTTATCTTAATTCTAACACAACAGTCATCCATAATTACAGCCAATGAATAAACAAAGAAACAGATATATATGTTTATCTTGCTTCTAGCATAACAGTTAACCACAATTAATGAATGAGCAAAGGGACAGATACACACCTGTATACCAACATTATAACACCTTCCCCCCACTGGGATTGTCATCAGTATAAATTGTCACATCACTCTCGGTTACATACATATCAAAGTGTTGCACAGGTAACACTAGACTAAGCGATTCTTTTTCGATGGTGGAGTACCGTGTTTCTGATGGGTACTTAATTTCTCAGAGAAATAACCCACTGGTCGTTCAATGCCAGTTTCATCAAGGACTGCTCCAACTGCAACATCGCTAGCATCTATAGCTATATTAAAGGCTTGTCCAAATTTGGTGTGACTAATACAGGGTGGTTTGCCAAAATGGCTTTTAAATTATTAAAAACCCGGTTCTGGTTGAATACCAGTTTTATTCCTTATCCTCAGTAACAAAACAACTCAAACACACATCAAGGTATGTACAGAATTCTCCCTCACTGGTCTCTTATTTTTTTAATTATTTTTCTCATTGTGGAGAGCACCACCAATGAGAAACTAATTTAGAAATGGAATAAAGGACTTGTAAAACACTGAGAGAGCAGCTTAGTTCAGTCGGCTAATCTGGTGGTAGCCACTGTGTGTGCGCTGAACCTTGGAGATCTCTAGGTCCCCGGTTCAATTCCCATCGCTGCCTCTTCTTGTGTTTCAGCTAGAGGGCTGAAATAGAAGTTACAATAGCACACCGTCTTTCGGATAAGACGTTTAAGCCGTTGGTCCCGCGTGTATTTATGGCCCATGTGCACGTTAAAGAACGTAGTACACTATTCGGAAAAGAGTAGGGGATTGTCTCCCGGTGTACTGTCCAATCACCACCAGAAGGACCCCACAGGAAATAAATCTTCTTCTAGACTTTCGTGGGCTATCCTTGGTGTTTACACCGAATAAGTCCAACCCAATCCAATCCACTGAATGCAGGTACCAGGATGCCAAAAGAATGAAGTAGTCTTATATTCCGTATTTATATCAATGGGCAGACTGAAATAAACCATTTCAACCAATCACAATGTTCACATTTTCGAAGCCCACTACAGAAGTCCCAAGTCCCTCGCTATCTGCGGTAGTCTACCGCTTTTAGCGATGATCTACCGCGCCACCGTAAGCTTACGTCTTTCTACCGCTTCAAAAAAATTCTCCCTTAAATTTTTGAAAATTTGAGTAGGTTATTTAATTTTGAATATCAGCTTAGCCTAGGCTTAGATTAAAACATAACTTTTGTTAAAAAACAATCGTAAACAATCACAAATAAGTTTATTCCACTCCCTACCATCACTGTTTACAATGCATTGCAATTAATTACGGTAGCTGCTGAAAACACGGAATCACAATACACTTTGTTTATTAAAAAAGTTGATGCGCCCATCCTTCCGACGCCCGGCCTGAGACCATGCCTGCAGTGTGATTTGATATCTAAACAACCCCGTAAACAACGAATGTAGGACATAAACCACCCAGGACATAAACCACCCAGGACATAAACCACCCAATTGGAATATACCATTGTTAAAGTGGGTGGGCAACAGGGTGAACAATGTTGGGTGGTCTTGCTTTTTATCTAGCTTTACTTAATTTGCTATTGTACACTCCTATTATACGCCTTTAATTCATTCATTTCTTCTGACAACATGCATGTTGGTTAGTAATCATTGTAGATTTTAGTAATCACTGTGCTTAAAGTTTTTTTTTTTTTTTTTTAGTTTTCTAAATTTATTTTAATTTTTAAAATGACTTACATTAAAAATCACTTTCATTTAAATACTTCCCTTTAATAATAATAATAATTTTATTTTAGTAATCACTGTGCTTAAAGTTTAATTGTTTTAATAGTAATCTCTATGTATTATTATTATTTTTATTATTATTTTTATCATTATTATTATTATTTTTATTATTATTATTATTATTATTATTAAATAAAAATACTAAATTTAAACAAATTAGAATACTAAATATTAGACAAATACCATTATTGTAGTAAAGTATACTCTATTATATTGTTATTTCATTATTATTTACTGTTATTCCATAGCTCATGATTTATCTACTTTGTAATGTTTTTGTCCATTCACGTCTGTCTCTTATACACATCTAGATGTGTATAAGAGACAGACTGTATAATACTGGTTTTGCTGCGATTCAATAACATAAAATGATAAAATGGTAAGATCTTAGTGATGGATACATTTACATTCAAATTATTATCTTAGTTATATAATATAAATTCTGTAAATGTAAATTAATGATAATTCAAGAATTCAAGACATTCAAATTATTATCTAAGTTATATAATATAAATACTGTAAATGTAAATTAATGATAATTATTAAGAATTCAATTTGTAAACCATATACATGTATGATAAATACTTTTTTATAGAATTAGTCATTTATATTCTTATTTTTACCCATTGTGCAATAATTTTAGAAAATAATTTTAGAAAACTAAAATACACCTATTAAAACAATTAAACTTTAAGCACAGTGATTACTAAAATAAAATTATTATTATTATTAAAGGGAAGTATTTAATTGAAAGTGATTTTTAATGTTAAGTCATTTTAAAAATTAAAATAAATTTAGAAAACTAAAAAAAATTAAACTTTAAGCACAGTGATTACTAAAATCTACAATGATTACTAACCAACATGCATGTTGTCAGAAGAAATGAATGAATTAAAGGCGTATAACTGTCTCTTATACACATCTAGATGTGTATAAGAGATAAAAGCAAGACCACCCAACATTGTTCACCCTGTTGCCCACCCACTTTAACAATGGTATATTCCAATTGGGTGGTTTATGTCCTGGGTGGTTTATGTCCTGGGTGGTTTATGTCCGTATA